TAGCCCTGGCTGTCCTGGAGCTCACTCTGTAGACCAGGCTGGTCTTGAACACAGATCCACCTGCCTCTGCCTCCCCTGTGCGGGGATTAATAGCTAGAATACATAATCTTTTCAACTGGCAAATATCTGGCCATGGTGGGGTACACCAGCGATCCCAGCACTTGGAACGTGGAGGCAGGAGGATCTGGAGTCCAAGATCTTCCTCGGCTGCATAGTGAGTTCAAGGCCAACACGGCCACATCTAAAAAAAAAATGCAAAACCAAGTAGACTCCTCCAAAGGGACACACGGGTGACCAACAAGCACACTAGGAAGGGCTGAGTGTGCAGCACAGCCATGCAAAGTGCACCTGGTGTGTACAAGGCCCCTGCTGCTACAACTGCGTAATAATGTGTCACTTTTTTATACAATAGACACACACTAACGGAAAGACAAATCAAAAGTACAAGAGCCCAGCACGATGGTGCACACCTGTAATCCCAGCTCTCTGGAGGCTGAGGCAGGAGAATAAAGGATTCCAAGCTACACAATAAATGGGAGGCCAGCTAAATTTAAAAAAAAAAGAAAGAAAGAAAAGAAAGGAAAGGAGGGAGAGAGGGAGGAAGGGAGGGAGGGAGAGGGGAAAAAATTATATATATGTATATATATACGGGGGGGGGGGGGGCGGGAAAAAGAAAACATGAGACATTGCACAACGTGCAATGGACGTGAAATAGGCCATGCCTGCATTCAAAAGTGATTGCGGGCTGCCCAGGCCCCGTCACTCATGCTGCAGGGAAAAGATGCCAAAAGCCTTTCCCCAGGTTTGGAAGGTCCACCCTGTACTGGCCAGCTCCTGGTGCTTTCTAACACATCTTGCTTCTCACGGCTACTGACAGCAGTCTCCCCGAGTGCCCTCCACCAGCACCGGGCAGTATCCTCAGAGGTTTATGGAAGGGAGGCAGAAACAAAGTTTGCCTTGAGGGGTTTATTCTGGCCTAGCTTTTCAAGCATCCCATGAGCCCCAGTCATGTCTTATGGAACATCCTTCCGTGGCTGCTGGAGAAGAGAGAACCCAGAAGCCTATGGGGTGATAGGCTACCTGACCCTTCTTCCTTGCGTCCCAGGTGTTTGTGGACACCAGAGGACCAGAGAGTGAACAGCAAGACCACTACACCAAGTGAAACTGAAGACACTGTCCACTCAGAACATCACGGAACAGCTTTTTCCTCTCTGCTTAGTAACTGGCTCAAGCATGGGAGACTCCAGCACATAAAGTCTTGACACCAACACCACAGAAGGCTGTCATGCCCTGTCCATCCACTACTGCCTGGAATGACGACAATGACAAGGAATTTGTTGTTAACTTTGCTACCTCCCCCAAAACTGTGCAATAAACCTTATAGATAAAAAAATAAAATAAAAATATAGATAAATAAACAAATAAGTAAGCAAGTCAGGCATGGGACACTTTTAAACCCAATATTCACAAAGCAGAGGAGGCCTGTGCAGTGTATGGTCTGAAGACACAATGAGACGCTGCCTCAAGAGGAAAGAAACAGGAGCTAGAGGACCAGCTCGGTGACACAGCATGACCAAAGTTTGCCCCCCTAAAAACAAGAGAAAATAACGAGTCTGCTGGTGTGGAGGCTGGGACTTACGCACTGCTCAGAGGCTTGGTAAATAAATGGTGTACTCCTTAAAAAATTAGAAATGAGGGCTGGAGAGATGGCTCAGAGGTTAAGAGCACTGGCAGCTCTTCCAGAGGTCCTGAGTTCAATTCCCAGCAACCACATGGTGGCTCACAACCATCTATAATGAGATCTAGCACCCTCTTCTGTATACATAATAAATAAAAAAATAAATCTTTAAAAAAAAAAATTAGAAATGGAACTGATGACCTTATTATCTGGTGAACCACTTCTGCGTGTACATCCGGTTGGAACAGTCACACAAGACTATCCCAATGGGGCATGCTCACGGCAGCATTATGTCATAGTCAGCCCATCACCAGGCAAGTAGACAGGAAGTGTGTCCTAGCCTCATGAAGAACATTACCCCGCCTTTACAAGAGGAAGAAAGAAGCCCGGCAGTGGTGGTGACGCCTTTAATCCCAGCACTCGGGAGACAGAACCAGGAGGATCTCTGTGAGTTCGAGGCCAGCCTGGTCTACAGAGTGAGTTCCAGGACAGGCTCCAAAGCTACACAGAGAAACCCTGTCTCAAAAGAGGAAGAAAGAGGCTGAGGACAGACGACCCAGTGCCATTGGCAGAGTGCAGTCCAGGAATGAAGGAACAAGGCCCTGACTGATAAACACACTATCACAAGACACTGTACAACCCGCCTGAGGCCCCAGAGCAGTCAGATTCGGAGTCCAGCCTTCTACCATAGAAGAGGCTACCAGAGACGGGGGAAGGCGGATGGGGACAGTCTGATAGGCCAGACTAGCTTTTCGTCTGCAGACAACGTGGTATGGATGTCACTAACATCACTGAACGCACACTCCGAAACAGTTAAGTTCACAAATGTGATGTTACCTGTACTTTAACACATTTTGGGAGCTGAAAAAAATGTCTAAGAAGGGAAATTGTATCTAGAATGTATAAAGAACTTTTATGACTCAACTAATGAAAAACAAGCCTACCAGAAAGCAGGCTAAGATCAAGTGTGGTGGTGCATACCTACAACCCCAGCACTCAGGAAGTGGAGGCAGAAAGATCAGGAGTTCAAGGCCAGCTTCCACAACATAGTGAGTTTGAGGCTCGACTGTGATATTAGACCCTATTTCAAGAAAGCCAAAAGAGCCGGGCAGTGGTGGCACACGCCTTTAGTCCCAGCACAGGCAGAGCAGAGGGAGCTCTGTGATTTCAAGGCCAGTCTGGTCTACACAGCTAACTAATTCCAGGACAACCCAGGCTATATAGTGAGATCTCTCAAAGGGTGGGGAGGGGTCAGGGGAAGTGTGATAAAGAGTTGGCTCATTGGTTAAAAATGCTTGCTGCTCTTCCAGAGGACCCAAGTTCAGTTCCCAGCAACCACATGGCAGTCATAACCTATTATAACACCAGGTCCAAGAGACCCAACAGCTCTTCTGGCTTCTGTGGGCACCTACACACATGACCTACACACATGACCCCCACACACACACATATATACATAAATTAAAAACAATAAATCTTGAAAAAGGAAAAGAAGCCAAGTGTGGCGCACACCTTTAATCCCAGTACTTGGGAGGCAGAGACAGGCGGATCTCTGGGAGTTCAAGACCAGCCTGGTCTACAGAGCTAGTTCCAGGACTGCCGGGGCTATACAAAGAAACCCTGTCATGAAAAACAAAAAGTCAAAGAAACAAACAAACAAACAAAAGCAAGTTTCAGGCCGGGACTGTCACACAGAGAAACCCTGTCTCAGAAAAAGAAAGAAGGGAAGTCTGAGTCCTCAAGGGAGTGCCAATCACACCTGCAGTGGACAATACTTCACACCCATGAAAAAGCAAGTGCTGGACAGGATGTGGGACACTGAACCCTCCTACATGCTGGGAGGCGTTAATACACCTGGGTCCTGTGGAAGCCACCCTGCATGCCTCCAAGGTTAACTGGGAGTTACCAGGGGATTCAAAGTCTGCTCCCAAATGAGCTGTTTCCATGCACACCACCTCTGTTGACAAACATCAGGTGATCTTTCCACTTCTTCAGCTCAGGTCCTATAACTCAGTGAGGGTCTGCAACCAACCCCAACGGCCAAAAGGGTTTGGTCAGTCCCCAAAGACCACCCGCTTCAGACACCAGATACAAGTCCCATTCCTCACAGTCATCCAAATCAGTGTTCCCACAAGCCCCTCCTCCATCTACTAACTGGGGTGGGAGGTGGGGGACACAGGTTGACTTACTACAGGCTCATTACCAAGGCCAGGACCCCAGGCACTGGGCACTCTGCTGCAATCCTGGTGCTTTGGATACAGGTGCAGAAAATGGAGAGTTTGGAGACAGCCTGGAGTACACAGTAAGGCTCTATCTCAAAAAAAAAAGGTTTCTTTTTTAAATGAAGGACACAACCAGGATCAGCCAAATTGATGTAGTGGTTGCCAATAAGCTCAAAAATAAATGCTAACCTCAGTCAGCATCAAGAGCTTTTAAGGGGATTTCATGACTGATCAAGTCATTGGTCATGGGTGATTAACTCAAGCCAAGAACCTCTCCCACCCCCAGAGTAGCATATAATGGGAGGGAGCCAAAAGTTCAGGCAGTCTTTCAAGAGGCCAGCCCCCAGTCACCTCATTAGCATACAAAGACATTCCTGTCACCACCACCTCCATTCCAACAAACACCCTTTATTGTCATAGCTTGCAAAACCGAGGCAACTTATAGCCGGGTGGCAATGGTGCACGACTTTAATCCCAGCACTCAGGAGGCAGAGCCAGTGGATCTCTGTGAGTTCGAGGCCAGCCTGGTCTACAGAGGGAGATCCAGGACAGGCACCAAAACTACACAGAGAAACCCTGGGGGGCGGGGGGGGGGGGGGGGGAGACTGAGGCAACTCATGGTGACACAGCTCAGGGAAGGTGCTAACGCCACCAGGTTGTGAACTTGAATGGATAAAATGTATGCATGTGAATTACATCCCAACAAAGTTTCTGCAAAGCTCAGGGAAAATAAAAGCCCATTCATTCGGAACCAGATAGAAGCTGCAGCGTCTCTCAGCCACCTGGAACAGCAGCTTGGGAGAATGCCTGGGCCAGCACAGCTGCTAGTTCATAGGAGGTGGTGATCTCCAACCACACCCAAAGGAATTTATGACTAGAAAGGGCTTGGCTTCCTACAGCCTGGAGATGCCAAGCCTGGAGCCCAGGAGCCTCATGGTCCCCAAAAGAACAGCATGACAAACCTCAATTGAAACTACCTATTGACACGAGGCAGCTCACCCAACCCCCATTCCTAAGGACTTACAGCACATCCTCTGTTTCCCAGCCTGAGGCCCTGGGGCAAAGTCCCGAGGGAACAGAATATCGACAGTCATCCCTACCTTCCCATGGCGATGAGGCAATGTCCAGACTTTTGGTGATCTGCTCTGGCTCCGAGAGCCCTCATGGAAGCCCAGCATCTTCTTTCCCTGATCCCCAAACACCCCTGGCCTGTCACCAGGCTCCAGGAGGCTACTTGCCTGCCCGCCTCCCAGAGGCGCAGGCTGCTAGCAAGCAGCTTCATCCTGGGAGTGGGACAACCCGTTTATCCTCCGTCTCGGCAAGAGACTTAGCTGCTGTGTGCACCCGCCAGTACCCAGCTTAGCAAAGGGGCCTACTCAAGGGGACCCAGCCAGCTCCTCTTCCCACCACCAATGAGTTTGCAAATGACTGATGAGCAAGCAGGCAAGCTGGTGGGTCTGCTCCTGGAGCCCAGTGATGCAAGCAGCTCAGGAGGGTGTGTGGAGTCACTCAGCCTTGCCTTACTTCTGAGGGAGGAAATGCGGAGGAGAGAGAAAGGCACCGCCTGTCTGCAGGGTGACAGAGCTCCCTCTAGGACCCCCATCTCCAAGAACTTGAAGCCAAGCTTCGCCTGCGTGGTTTTTGCCAAGCTCAGGCACAGGTCCCTGCTGTGGCACCTGGGCCAAAAGATCCTCAGTCAGGCTGGGCGGCCAAGTAGGGCAGAGGTCCTGGCTCAGCACGAAGGCAGCGGAAGTTCTTCCGGAGGACAAGAAAGTGCTTGCAATGGAGCTGGACCACAGAGGCAAACACAGGGCTGGACTCCGCCCTCACATTCTGAAGGGGGAGGAGGCTCCAGAGGTGGTGTTCTCTACTCTATTGTGGAAAGAACCAAAGGCCCAGTTTAGTCACCTGTCCCCACCCTGTGGCTCCAAAACAAAAAGTCAATTCACCTGCCTCCTAGCCACCCCTGGTTTTCTCTTTGCTCCAAGTACTCTCCAATGCCAGGTTATCTTGCAGCAAATACCAGACAACATGGCTTGGCATCCATAAACATTTCAGCATCCTCTCTAAAACACAGGCTCCTTCTCAAATCCACCACAGGCTAGGTGGCATTTGACCTCCCATTTGCTAGGGAGCTTAGGAAGCAGAGAAAGGGCTCTCCTGAGCACAGAATTTCAGGATAGCCTGGGCAACACAGTGAAGCCTCACACATGGTTTGGTTTGGTTTTTAAAGACAAGGTCTTACTATGTCACCCTGGCTCACCTGGAACTCACCGATGTAAGCCAGGCTGGCCTCACACTCACAGATTCCCCAGGCTTCCTCTGCCTTCCCAAGTGCTGGGATTATAGCCATGCACTACTAGGCCTAGCTTCCCATTTTTAAATAAGTAAATACATGAATGAATAAGTAAATACATCTAGAACATATAACAAAAATCCCTCCACCTCATCAAACATCCAGTGGCTGTTCCCATGCCCTGGATTACATCCCAACGCCTGTGAAATCACATTTGTAAAGTACATTCACAACTGCTAAAATCCCAGATGCTCACTGACTGTAGAGATGAGCCAGCTGGATGTGCAGGGCAAGTTCAGCACCTACCCGGGTGAGGCTCACGGGCACTATGCTAAGTGTGATGTCCTCCCCAGGCAATCGGAGAACAAACCTCCATGAAAGAAAACCACTGATCTGCTTCTGGGTGCCAATGGTTAAGGAAGGAAGTAACTGCCCTGCGGTGATGTATTGTGTGTGTAAGGTTTTGGTCCTTATTTACGTCCTTTAATTACGTCATCAGCCTTCGCCGGCTTCCCAGCCTAAAAAGCGGTTGGGCCCTCTGTGGGCTCTCTCTGTCCCCTCTCCTTTGCGCTCCTTCCCCCCGTCGGTCCCCCTCTCTCCCTCTCCCCCCTTCTCTCTCTCTCTCTCTGTCTTTCTCTGTCTCTCCCCCACCCCAATAAAGCTCTAAAAAGGTAACCATGGCTATGGTTCTTTCAATCAGCACGCTCCTCCGCGGGCACGGCCGCCGCGGGCGGTGACCAGCCACGAGGGGCAGCTCGGCGGCATAACCAACAGTGTGCCCTAATAAACTTGCCTGAAGATCAGAGGACAGAGCCAGCCACTAGGTTAGACACAGAGGTCAGGCAGTGGTGGCACACACCTTGAATCCCAGTACTTGAGATCTCATGCCTTTGCTTGGGGAGCACACGCGTCTTTAATCCCAAGAAGTGATGTCTGGGCAGAGAAAGGTATATAAATTGTGAGGAAACAGGAACTCACTCTCTTTAGGCTGAGGATGTCGTAGAGGTAAGAACTAGGGGCTGGCTGCTCTGCTTCTCTGATCTTTCACTTTCACCCTGATATCTGGCTCTGGGTTTTTTATTAAAAGACCATCTAAGATTCGAATAACAGCCCCTCCCTATCAGATGTGATGAGGATATTCTGTGTCATAATCAGATGGTCATACACAGGCACCCACACACCTGTCAAAACACAATGAAATGTTCACACCTGTAATCTCAGGACTTGGGAGATGGAAGCAGGAGGATCGGGAGTTCAAGGCTATCCTCCACACACGGCAAATTTGAAACTAGCCTGGGCTACATGAGACTGCCTCAAAACAAAACAAAACAAACTTCAGTGAAATGTACATTTAACGCAGATGCATTTTATACAGAATGGTTTTATGGAGTGTGTGTCTTTTTAATTGTATCTATATGCCAACAAGGTTTTTACAAAAGCAGAGCTCAAGCTAGAACTGACGCTGTGGGAAAGCACTCAGCTGCCAGGTACAGGCCCTGAGCTTGAGTCCCTGCAGAAAGACATTAACTATTTTATAAATACTTAAAATAAATATTTTTTAACAGCAAAGGACAAGAGAACGACAACTGAGAAGGCTGGAGAGATGGCTCAGTGGTTAAGAGCACTTGCTCTTGCAGAAGACCTCGGTTCAGTTAGTAGAACCCACATGGCAGCTGACAACCATCTGTAACTCCTGTCCCCGGGGATCTGACGCCCTCTTCTGGCCTCCACAGGCACTGCATGCACATGGTACACAAGCATACATGCAGGCAAACACACCTAAAGCACATTAAATAAAAAATAGATTTGTGTGTGTGTGAAAACACGTAAATAAGTGACAACCAGCAAGCTGTGATTCCGTGGCAGTGCTTACCTGCATACATAAGGCCCTGGGTTTAATCTCTTGGTGGAGCATGGGGTGTGGGAGCAATTTTTTCCCACACATTTATTTATAGAAAAGCGATGGGCTCGCCACTGCCTGGATATCACAGGTGAGTGGAAGTAAGAGGGCAATTTACAAGAGCTGGTTCCTTCCTCGGTCCAAGGACCAAACTAAAATCACTCAGGTTTAACAGGTAAGCACCTTCTTCAGCTGAGCCACCTCACTGGTCTCCCCTAGCATTTAAAACATTAATTACACTTTAAAAGAAAAAGGGAGAGAGAAGGTCTCATCACACAGTCCAGCTGGCCTTCTGCCTCTGCCTGCCACATTCTGGAATGACAGGTGTGCATCACCTCACACTAAGATTTTTTTCTAGAGCTGGGTGGTGGTGGCAATCCAAGCACTCGGGAGGCAGAGCCAGGCGGATCTCTGTGAGTTTGAGGCCAACCTGGTCTACAGAGCAAGATCCAGGACAGCCACCAAAACTACACAGAAGAAGGCACCTGGGCTGAATTTGGTTTTTCGAAAAACCAAAAAAAAAAAAAAAAAGATTTTTTTTCTAATTTATTTTAATATTTTTTATGTGTATATGTGGGGGGTTGCATGTGAATGTAGGTGCCAGAGGAGGCCAGAGGCATTGGTTTTTCTCAAGGTAGAGAGTTAGAGGTAGTTGTGAGCTGACATGGCTGCTAGGAAATGAACTAGCATTGGGTAGAAAAGCAGCAAGCATTCTTTTTTTGTTTGTTTTTTGTTTTGTTTTTTGTTTTTTCAAGACAGGGTTTCTCTGTGTAGTTTTGGTGCCTGTCCTGGATCTCACTCTGTAGACCAGGCTGGCCTCGAACTCACAGAGATCCGCCTGGCTCTGCTTCCCAAGTGCTGGGATTAGAGGTGTGCATCACCACCGCCCAGCTCAGCGAGCATTCTTAACACTAAGCTCTCTCTCTAGCCCCAAGAGATTTTTTTTTTCTTTCTTTCTTTTCTAAGATTCTCTCCGGTGGCACCCAGGCAGGGGGATCAGGATCTGTCCCTGGTGCATGGGCAGGCTTTTGGGAATCCGGTGCCTGTGGTGTGACGCCTTGTGCAGCCTTGGTGCAGTGGGAAGGGGCTTGGACCTGCCTAGGCTCAGTGTGCCAGGCTCTCTCCCATGGGGAGACCTTGATTTGGGGGATGTGGGGATGTGGGGTGGCTTGGGAGAGAGGGCTGGGGGGTGGGAGGAGGGAGGAGGTGGGATCTGTGGATGTATGTAGAATGAGTGAAAAATTTCTTAATAAAGAAAAATGAAAAAAAAAAGGATTCTCTCTGGTATAAGAGGGTGTTTGTTTGTTTGTTTGTGGGACAGTCTTCCTATTGTCTAGATGAACCTGGAATTACCATGTACCCCAGCCTGGCCATGAACTCAATCTTCCTGCCTCATCTTCAATTGAGGGAATGACTATGTCTATGGATTAAAGGCTACACTGCCCAGATTTCAAGGAACTATCCCTAAATACTTAAAATCTGCATTCTGTGGACTCTCTACTGAAATGTTATTTTCAGGTATTGCCATCTGCAATGGTGAACAGCCTCCCCAGTGATCTGCGAACAGGTAGCTGTTGAGGAGGGTGACATAATAACTCCCTTCCCAGGAAGCCTCCAAGAGTGAAAAAGAACACCAAGATGGGAGGTCAAGGCACCTGTGTCGACAGCCCTGACAAGAACCCACTTGAACAGGGCCAACCCTTCACATGGGCACATGGGTCCTCTTCAGAAGAAGGCACCTGGGCTGGAGAAATGGCTCACTGGTTAAGAACACTGGCTGCTCTTCCAGAGGACCTGAATTTGGATCCCAGAACCACGTTGAAATTCACAACTGTCTGTAACTCCAGTCCCAGGGGATTCAATGCCCTCTTCTGGCACTAGGCACATACAGTATAAAGACATATATGCAGGTAAACATCCATACTCATAACAATAAGTAAATAAAATTTAAATAAATAAGAGAAGGCACCTTCTGGCCTGGATGACACCAGGGTACTGGCCAGAGTGACAGCAGGCCACCTTGAACACTAACAGGACAATGGTAGACTTAGGCCACCTCCACCACAGGCCACTGAGCTGCAGAGAGGCCTCTTCATCAGGGTCCACACATCTTCCCAGAACAGAGCCAGCACTGTGTTCTATGGAATGTGCCAGAACAGATTCTATGTTTTCATCAATTCCACCTTCAAGCCAAAGGCCAA